CAGCCCTGTTTGTTATTCCTGGTGCCACACACTTGTAGACTGCAAACACAGCCCTGTTTGTTATTCTCAGCGGCATCTAAGAGAACAGAAGACGTGTCAATGTTTCCTAATTTGTAGCTTGCTGTCTTTCACAAATGAACCTCCGATGTCTCTTTCTCGGCATTTCTTGACAAATATGTTCTTGACCAAAGTGTGTTTCGCATCGCTTCTCTGGCTATAGCGATGTAAAAACATTACAGCAACATTCTCAATATTACTATCTTAGTCTGATCTATTGATAGGGTTACATTAGAGCATTGAAATCTAGGGAGCTAAGTTGTCTCGAGGTATGGCGTCCGCCTCGAGTGCTGGAGGTCCCAGGTTCAGGCCAAGGTAAAGCCTGGGATTTTGTCACGTGGACTCAATTTCCCCTGGTCTCTGGACAGTAAGACCCCCACCCCCCCCCCCCCCCCGTGTATATTATTGCGCAAGTAAAAAAAAAAAAAAACTTGGCAGTTGGAAATCGTAAAAAGTAGCCTAACGGCGCTGCCTGGGCAAAATTTGGAGTTTAAAATCTACCCAAAGTATTTCAGGATCCTTGCCGGCGCAGCGAAGCTCGTGCACTGCGCTGAGATTCTTCAGGCTCAGACTTGAGTTAGAAGTAGAAAGGAGCACTTATGGGTTACACCGTGTGCCATGATGTTGATCCATTGTTTAAAAATAACCATAATGATACGGTCAGACTAGAACAGCTGAGCTAGTGTTTTGATGTACACGTGAATTACGTGGATTCTTAGTAAATCCTATGGGAGACTTAGCTTAAACTCTAAAGTTCAATGCACGTATATTTATTTATTCACCTGAGTTCTGAAATATGCGTATATCTATCGGCGTGAAATAGGCGTGGAAGATTTTTTACCGTGACCCTACCAAAGTACCTGGCCAGTCCAGAAATAAGCAGGGTTTGCAAGGCCAGTCCTGGACCTTCTCATACTGGAGAGCCATATTACATTATAACCAGGTCACGATCCACCATATCACCTACAAAATAGGGTTAGACCCAGGCTGGTAATGTTTCATTCACCAGTTTTTGGTATCTCAGTGTCAACAGACGTGAATCCAGTCCTGAGAGGGAAATACAAATGCATGGTAAAAACATTATTTGATGCTCTGGACTTTGATACATGCCAGTTTGGCATGTTAGAAGTGTGATTCGAGCATTGTGTTTGCGGTACTGAGTTGAGTTGAGCTGAGTCAAGAATTGACATCACAGCATTCGGGGCATTCCCATTTGCGCTCCGTCCTCATCTTCAGCAGCCAGCGCAGAGTTCCAATATTGATGACACCGGTCACAATTTGGTTATATGTCCGTTTTGTCTTTCCTCTGAGTGTAGTCATGCGGTACTGAATGGCCGCTATATGTGAATGGATTGCCACACTTTGTCAGGACATTTTTGGGTACTCACTTAATGAGAACACCTTGACGTGATCACACAAGAAACCTTCCTCCCTGCAACTTTTCTTAAGAAGAACATCAACCCAGGCTACTGGACTACTAAGTAGCTGCATTAGTCCCCTTCAATCTCTCTCTCTCTCTCTCTCTCTCTCTCTCTCTCTCTCTCTCTCTCTCTCTCTCTCTCTCTCTCTCTCTCTCTCTCTCTCTCTCTTTTTCTCTCTCTCTCTCTGTGTGTGTGTGTGTGTGCTGTGTGTCACAGGCTGAGGAAAAGCAGACAAGAAATGACGAGACAATAAATAGTATGGTAATAGGTGACAAAGACGAATAGAGGTGGGAAAGAAACGAAAAAGAAATAATTTACGATGTGATAATGATAACGTGTCTAGTGGTTAAATCTCTTAACCATCCGAAATAACAGTATACCAATTTCAGAATCTTAGAAGTCGTCTGCAGATTGATTTCGGCTTACAGCGAGGAACAGTCAACACGGAGCAGTAGAAACGAATCAAAAACGCCTATTAGTAACTACAAATAACAGGATTGTATGGAACACAATAGAAGTATCAAGGCTGACTAAACCTCAGGATAGAAGCAGTGTCAATTACCTGACTCAGTAATACACATAAGTACAATGTCTTAATAGATACGGACACTATATAGAGCAGTATCAGGTAGCTTAAGGACAAATACTTATGATCAAGGTCTCTGCAAGGTTTGGAGACGATCTACCTTCTTTGGCCATGTAGTGAGAATGACAAAACTAAACTGTAACAGTGATAAAAAAGTTCGAGGGGAGAAGAGGCACAGGGAGACAGAGAAAAAAAATGCTGGTAGTTTTACATCATGGCATGGCAGATTATCTTGGTCGTAACTGATTGAAAGTACACGAGACAGAAGGCTATGAATAACACATGACCACCAACGCCATGGGGAATAGACTATAAGGAGAAGACAATTTCAGGATAGCCATATGCTCAATAATATCAAAGGTAGATCACACCAGTAGGTTGGAACAAGTATAGCGACCCAGCTCCTTGCTAAAATGGATACACTCGTAAGAGGAGTAGCAATAGTAGTGTAATGGATATACTGGTAGGAGGAGAAGCCTAGTAGTGCAATGGATACACTCGTAAGAGGCAACACCATAATGGCGCAATGGATATTCTCGTAAGAGAAGAAGCAGCGGTGGTGCAATGGATACACTCGTAAAAGGAGAAGCAAAAGTGGTGCAGTGGATACACTCGTAAGAGAATGAGAAAATAGCAAGTAGAAAACAAAGAGAAGAACACCTGGATGGCTTGGTCATTGACGTGGGCGAGACGAGAATAATGATCTGATCCGTGATTGTGATAACGTGAGATGACTAATTATAGCTGCCTTCGCTTATCGATATGACACATAATGATGTTGAAGGGCTAATTAATCCTTAATGCAGAAGTGTTACCAACGTATTCCCATTGTGACGTATTTGACAAGTGAAGATAAACAGTGACCGATATCACTGCTACCTGATAGCCAAATAGTAAAAATAGCGTCTATGTGGTAACACAGAAAAGGAGGTGAAACTGAATAAAAGACAAGAAGCGTCGTAGTGGTTGGCAAAGAAAAGACTACAAGCCCAGGGCGAGTCGTTTTAAGGACTGGTCGTTGAAGCCAGCTCACCATCACAGCGGTGGAAACTTCACCGGCACGGACCCCGACAGACATCAGTGGCATAGAAAGAAACACCACATAGACTACTGTCTCCACGAAAGAATGGTACAGAGGGAAAACACAATTCTAATTATAAACAAAGCTTATCAAGAAGCATATGGAGCTAGATCGAAATATATTTCTGTCTGTCTCTCCATCTATCTACATGCATGCCTGTCTGTCTGTCTGGCCGATGGATGGTGTCCCCCTTCCCGCTGGTCTGAGTGTGGTTCTGTCTGCTGTCTGTATCTATTAGTTTGCCTGTCGCCCCCCACCCCCCACCACCCCCACGACGCTATGTTTAAGCTTAGTTCTTCTCGCCTCTGTCCTTTGTGTGTGTTCCGCTTTAATTATTTCCAAAACTGCCTATAGACCACCTACTTTTGCATCACCTCTCTTTTTCTTAACATTCAGCGGCTGAAAACTCTGGAGGACAGTTTTGGATGTCCATTCACTTCTGGATTTTAATCCAGTTCTTTAACTTCAGTTTTTCGTGCGCATCCATTATACATAACTTGTTTATCTGGATGCAGACTGCTGGTTCCTCGCCTGTCAAGCAGATGGACTCTTACTTCCCAGAAAACTTCCCCAATTAGTCGACTTTTACGACATGCTTGGTTCAGGGGCATTAAGTCTGTTCGTTTCTTCCCAATATCGCGCCCCTGAAGCTGCACAGGGATCAGCTCTCTGAGACCAGACATTTTCGCTGCTCTCTTGATCATGCGAGTTCCCTCATGTTGTACATTACTTGCCTCCCGCACCAAAGAAATCGCCGAGCCGTGAAATAGATGTAGCATTTGTTAGATTGTGTGGCCTGTTTGATTTCTCATCGCATCGACTCACCAAGTCTTAATGGATGGGAGGCAAATTGATTAACATTTTTTCCCCATTTCTATCGGAAACGTTTGTGAGTTTCCGAGGAAAGGTCAGCATCCGTGGGTGGTAACGTTTGCTAAATGTTTTGTTTTATTGTATGCTATTATTCCTTCTGTTTCTTGTAGTTTATGCCCCATGGCGTTGGCCGCCATTTTTGTTCCCAAGCAAGATAATGCATTCAGCTGGATTAGAAAGCACCGCAGGAATGACATTGGCTATGCACTTAGAATGGATAAGACCAGACTTCCCTATCAAGATATGTCGACACCGGAAGGGAAAACAAAACGGGGAAGACCAAGAGAGACCCCGCGTAGAACCATCATCAGGGAAGGCTCACCTATGGGCCTCACAAACACCCAAGATCTAAATCAGGTGGCAAAGAACCGCCAGACAGGGAGAGCTATGACCTCTGCCTTATGCGCCGCCCTAGGCTCAAAAGGAAATACTAGCTAAGGGGTCTAAAAGTAAAGGACCCTTTTCCATGCATTAAAGCGTATTGGGCATATAGGGCTAGACCTATATTTTATAGACTAATCGGCACTAGGTTGGTGATGTAGTCAGCATCACACCGGTCGCCTTTACTTCCCAGGAATGCACCTGGTACTCTCACAGGACCCGAACCTACGACTTTCCGATCTGCAGGTAAGCTTCTAGCCACTACACCATGGGAACTCTCAACTAAGGGGTGTATTGTTGTTGTTGTTATTAATATTATTATTATCATTATTATTAGTCATTGGTTAACAGGAATTGTCTTATAATATGAACACGATTTTGATCACCTCGAATCCCTGTTAACGAAGTTTTACTACACACATACACGCACACACACGCACACACAACCCACCCCACACCCCACAGACACACACACACATATATATATATATGAAGCCATTATTTGAATAACTGTGCCGAGTTTGTGTATACAGCTGCAGTGTGTAGCCATACAATCACCACTGTATAAGTATTTTTTATGAGAATGAACCCTTGTCTGCAGGTGACACAGCGTTTTACCGTCAACCTCCCGACTGGCCAGAAGACAGTACTGAGGGTCAGCCCGCTGACCATCCTGGGTGATGCTGTGATTTCTGCCTGTAAGGAAAAAGGTCTGGAACTGGAGCTGGACAGATATGTCCTTCAGTTGCCTAAGAAACCCGGGATACCCATCGATCCCAGGGCGACCATACTGCAGGCCGGAGTACAGGAGATTAATTTAGTGTCTCGTGGTAAGTTCATCTGCGGCGTTCTTTGTGTTTGTATCTTTGCTTTGTTAGCCGATGGAGAACATTCCTCAATAGTTTATTTATTCTGCTACTGTATCTCTAGGGAGCCGCCGTGGTGCAGCGGCTAGACACTGGTCTGCTGATACAAAGGTCGTGGGTTCAGGTCTTGACGATGCCGGACTTTTGTGTGTGTGTGGCTCTAACAATTACCTTGGATCCTAGGTCGACCCAGCCTGAAGTGAGTACTAGGTAAAGTCCTGGAAAGTAAAGGCGGCTGGCGTTTTGTGGACCACCGAGTGCTGATTGGTCTATAAAATGAAGGTCTAGCCCCATATGCCCAATGCGCCTAAAGGCCGGCAAAAGGGTCCTTTAAAGGCATTTTTTTTTTTCTTTTACGTATCCAGAACCCATATGCCCAATGCAGCATTGATTCCATTATAGGCCGGCTGGGAAAAGGGCTTTTCTGCCTACCCCCGGGGAGTGAGCCGGACCCTTTCACCCGGCCGCCGCGAAAGTCAGGTTTAACCAACTTCTTTAGAACATTACTGTTTATACAGCATCATCATCGTCATCGTGGTTGTAGTTATCACCACTAGCATGATGTGACTTACTGGATGACAGAGGCTTTCGTGCCTCTCCACAGAAATCAGTCTTTGGTATTCTGGAGTATTTCTTTTAAAGACACGCCTCTAAATGGCTAGCATAGACTAATCGAGACCGTCTGCAGCTGACGGCCATGCTGCTGACGTCACCTAACCCGGCAAATGATACGTTAACGTATCATTAGCCCGGTTTGGTGACGTCAGCAGCATCCCCTGTCTGCTGAAACTGGTCTTGGAATAATCATTAACATTTGTCTCAATCTGCATAGCCTTTTACCGCTACTTCTAGTCGTTACAGTTTCCCTAAGGAGCCACGGTAGCTCAGTGTCTAGACACTTGCTTGCAGACCCGTAAATCTTGGGTTCCAATCCGCGCACTACAGCTGCTGGAAAAAAAAATTGCAGCCTTACCCCCCCCCCCCCCCACCCCCACCCCCCCCCCCCCCCCCCCCCCCCGTTAGTTGCCTATCCTTTACAGAAGCAAACCCAGCATTTTTTGTCTGTGATTTTACCAGTTAATTGTATGTTACATAGTGTGTCATTTCCCAGTAAACTGTCAGCTGTCCGTAAAGAAAAGGTTAGTTGCGTATCCTTTACAGGCAAATTAACGTCCTGCAGTTTGCCATTGCCTCTGGACGGTCGGCTTTCTTGAAACCACTGTCAAAACCAACGCAAGGCACATGGCCCGCAGCTGGGATCGAACCCGGCATCTCGGCATTATAAAGCGTTCGCAATCGACTTAACCACAGAGACGACCAGCTGTCCGTACCACTGTGAAAATCAGCAGAAAGCGGTCAAGTTCACATGAGCCTGTGAAGGTCTTTTATTTTGCTTTTCAATGCTCTCTAATGTCTTTGATTTTTGTCTTCTTTAAAATTGCGTATCCTTTACAGGACGTTACAGAACCAATCCCAGCATTTTCTGACTGTTGTGATTTTTTAAGGCAGATTTTACGTTCAGTAGTTTGCCATTGCCTCTCAGCTGTCAGTTCTCGGTACCACTGTCAAAACGAGCGCAAGACAAATCGTCTGCGAGATGGGATGAACTCAAAGAAAAGTTCAATTAGTTGCTTTTTACTACATGTTTGATAAGGAGCAGTGGGTTTATGGCGCCCCCCCCCCCGGGGTGGGGGGGGGGGCTTTCTCCCTCCCCCCCCCCCATGGGACCCCGGAACCGACACGGACAGCACTACTTTTAACAGCTGTGTCCACTCAAGTCGTCAGCCTACATGTAACAGCTAATCTATTTTAGGCAGTGAATAATTGCGGATACAAACATGACTGTTGGACATGCCTCTCGGTTGATTTCCCAGAAATGCATGCAAACAGTGGCCTTTTTTTTTTCTTGCGTGTACTAGCAGTTAAAAATAGCCAGATGTGGTTTGCATTGCAGGGCTGTCACTGTGCTAGCATAATCAATTGTAGAGAGGGCTGGCGACTGATCCGCTTATTAAGGACGTCTCGCTGTCCTTGATGTGGCAAGTCAGGACACGCGTGTCGTTAGTTATGTCGTGCACAAAGAGACCGCTACTAGGTGTCTGTACATCTCATACGATGGGCTGAAGCAGTGGTTCTCAACTCCCCCTTTTTTGAGTCGAAGGGCCCTTTCACATGGGTCGCCAAAGATCATCCGAAAGCACACATTTATTGAGGTTATGAAGTAGTAATGAAAATAATTGTATGTCTGAGGGTCGCCACAATTTGATGAACTGTATGAACGGGTCGCCACAATATGAGGAACTGTATGAACGGGTCGCCACAATATGAGGAACTATATGAACGGGTCGCCACAATATGAGGAACTGTTAGAAAGGGTCGCCACACTATGAGGAACTGTATGAACGGGTCGCCACAATATGAGGAACTGTTAGAAAGGGTCGCCACAATATGAGGAACTGTATGAACGAGTCGCCATAATATGAGGAACTGTATGAACGGATCGCCACAACATGAGGAACTGTATGAACGGGTCGCCACAACATGAGGAACTGTATGAACGAGTCGCCATAATATGAGGAACTGTATGAACGGATCGCCACAACATGAGGAACTGTATGAACGGGTCGCCACAACATGAGGAACTGTATGAACGAGTCGCCACAATATGAGGAACTGTATGAACGGGTCGCCACAATTTGAGGAACTGTATGAACGGGTCGCCTTAATATGAGGAACTGTATGAACGGGTCGCCACAATATGAGAAACTGTATGAACGGGTCGCCACAATTTGAGGAACTGTTATAAAGGGTCAGGCCATTAGAAAGGTTGAGAACCACTGGGCTAAAGAATATGTGAGGGAGGGGTGATTTATATGTGACTAACAATCGATGTCACTGCACTGGGGAGGCGGGGGGGGGGGGGGGGGGAGGGAGCTTCCTCCTCTTTTTTTTCCCTCTTCCTTTACCTCATCCTCCTCCTTCGCCTCACTCCCTCCTTCCCTTCTGCTCCTCCTCCGTTTGGCTAACATCAGTCAGCAGGTCCTTTACAGAAGATCACTCTCATCACGGCACGCCTGAAAGTCTCTCTTTCTTTAGCCAATTTCCCCAGCCCTATGTGCTTTCATAGCCAATGCATCTTCAATGTCCTGTGTCCAACTTCGCGGGGGTCGGCCTCTGACTCGTTTTCTGGAAACAGCAACCTCCATCACCGTTCTCTCCACGACGCTTAAAGTGGTCAAAATATACAGGATGCTGTTTATGAGCCAGTTCTCCACGATGTATAAATCATGCAGCATGTTGGTGTTCTTCTTTTCCTTGATCCACTGTATGCAAAGAATTTTCTGTAGCATTTCGGCTCAAAGGCTGCAATTTTCTTTTTCTTTCAAAGTTTGGGTAAGAGTTTCATCTCATCACATCCCTTGTATCATTCATTTTTTCTTCTTCTTCTCCTCCTCTTCAGTCTCCTCCCTTTCATATCCTAATTCGCCACCTCACACCATGTCCTTTCCAGACTGGATCATGATTAGTTGAAGTTGAAGCCAGTATCTCTCTCTCTCTCTTTCTCTCTCTCTTATTTGCCAACCTTCCTTTGGCACCTTTTAAGACATGCATGGTAGGTTACAGTGTAACTCTGCTTTTCATATTGGTCCAGGTAATACACAGGGGCATTTCATGTTGTGTAAAAGGTCCCTTTTCCACACCATTGTACCTTTTGGAAATAAAATACATTTTCTAGACCAATCGGCAATCGTAAGGTAATGTGGTCAATATCATGCATGCCGCCTTTACTTCCCATGCCTCTACCTGGTACCCACTTAAGGCTGGGTCAGCCTGGAAGCCAAGGTTATTTGCAAAAAAAAAAAGTCAGGCGCCATTTAAATTTGAACCCACCATCTTTGGAACTACAGGAGAGCATCCATCTACTACGCTATGGTGACCTCTCCCCGTTTCATATTTTACCTATAATCTATCTCCATGTTAATGAACCTTTTTGGTACATATTATTACTTCAGCTAGTTGATAGAGCATCCTCACTGCACACTGAATCAGTTGGTCAATAAGTTACTTGTGTGGGTTTTGGGGCACCACCCATTGTGTTCGGGGGGGGGGGGAGGGGGGGGGGGGGGGGGGGTAGACCCACAGGTGAGCTAACAAGCATGTCATTAAAGGTAGCTAGTTAGGGATGTGTCTTTCTTCTGACATCAGAGTACATCTGCATAAGAGGCAAGAGCCAACAGTCTGCATACTAATAAACAAGATTTGTAGAAAGGATGTTCGGCAAAGGTCAGGTTCTGAAACTGGACTAAAGTCCAAAAGTGGACAAATGACCAGAACTTTTTACCAAAGTTGACATCTAGTAATGCCAAGAAGAAGCAGCAGTAGCAGCAGAAGAAGAACACAGAAGCCGCAGTAGCAGCACTAATAAGAGGACAAGCATTTGTAGAAAAAGGATGTTTAAGAAACAAAAGGTCAGGAATTATGAGGAAAGAAGGCAGCAGTCTGAAGAAAAGAGGGAAGCCAAAGAACCAAAAGTGGACAAATGACCAGAACTTTCTACCAAAGTTGACACCTAGTAATGCCAAGAAGAAGCAGCAGTAGCAGCAGAAGAAGAATATGAGAAAGAAGCAGAAGAAGAAGAAGAAGAAGATCCATAAGTGCACAGATTCTTCCTCAGTGTATCCCTGAATGGATGGCTGCTGGCTAAACCACAGATTAATTTGGCTCATTTATTCTCTGGCAACTCAGCAGGTGTGAACTCTTTCTCATGAACCACATGATTGTGTCATTTTTCACATACTTTTAATGTTTGATCACAGTATACGGAATAGCCACTTTCAAAATATGACTATGAATCCAGGACAAATAATAAATGAGCCAAACAATTTCTTGAGGCCACAGAGATTTGGTTTTGCAAAAGAATATTTAAAATTATTTTGAAGAGCAAAAGTAGTAAAATAGATGTTCTGAAAGGCATAAAGGCCTAAAGATGACTTATTATAAACACCAGAAGAAGACAGTCATCAATTTTTGGCCACGTTATGAGGAAGAACGGGAAACTTGAATATGTGGTGACCACTGGAGAGATTGTGGAGTCATTGAGGACCAAAGACTAGAAGCTTCTTGACATATCATGGCATAGAGGGGTGATGGCACATTAGTTAATGAATGCCATTTGTGGTCACAGTTTGTGGAGAGGCACGATCACCCATGCCGTTCAGGAAGGCACTTGATAATGATGATGCTAAAGAAGTGTTTCCTTCCATCATTTCTTGTCTGTAGCATACTCTCTTTGTTCATCAACAATGTACCAGTGAATCAAGCGAATCCACTTTCATTTGAAGCACAACTGCATAGGGCAGTAAATCTACAATATTGGCAACAATGGTAAAAGACCAAACTTACAGTTTAGTGACACATGGACTAGGCTTGGGCTGTTTTCTGAGACATGAACTGTGTAATAGACAGTAAATGCTTTTCCATTTGAAGTATCAGAAAGCCATTTCATTGCAGCACTAGGAACCCTGAAATCACATTGATAAGTGACTATTTGCCACACCTTCAGACGTTTCAGGTGTATAGTGCTAACCCTATACAAAAACCACATTGAAAATCTTTTATAAATATAGCCTAGTTCCCATGTTGCCAAGGTGTAAGTATTGTCACTTCCTTTATTGTCTTGTCCCAGTTACATCTAGTCAAACTGTTGCACAGCACTAGTGTTGCCTTGTCCTGGTGTTGTCTAAGTCTCAATTTTGCATAGTCAACTGTTGCCTAGTCTAAGGCTTAGGCCCTGTGTTGCCAAGCTGTAAATGTTGTCTTTCAAGCAAAGTTTCAGTGTTGCCAAATTCCAGTGTTGCCAGTTTTGTTGTTGCCAAGTTTCAGTGTTGCCATGTTTCAGTGTTGCCAAGTTCCAGTGTTGCCATGTTCCAGTGTTGCTAAGTTGCCAGTGTTGCCAAGTTTCAGTGTTGCCAAGTTCTGGTATTGCCAAGTTTCAGTATTGCCAAGTTCCAGTGTTGCCATGTTCCAGTGTTGCCATGTTCCAGTGTTGCCAAGTTGCCAGTGTTGCCAAGTTTTGTTGTTGCCAAGTTTAAGTGTTGCCATGTTTTAGTGTTGCCAAGTTCCAGTGTTGCCAAGTTTCAGTGTTGCCAAGTTCCGGTGTTGCCAAGTTACAGTATTGCCAAGTTCTGTTGTTGCCAATTTCCAGTGTTGCCAAGTTGACAGTGTTGCTAAGTTGCCAGTGTTGCCAAGTTTTCTTGTTGCCAAGTTTTCTTGTTGCCAAGTTTCAGTGTTGCCATGTTCCAGTGTTGCCAAGTTCCACCATGCCAAGTTCCAGTGTTGCCAAGTTGCCAGTGTTGCCAAGTTTCAGTTTTGCACAGTTATGATTTTCAACATGTACAAGGAAGAATAATGAACACAATCTTCACATTCAAGTGATTATCTCTGTGTATAAAGATATCAGTTTTCACATAAAGTAAATGTTGATAATTCATGTAAAAATCCATGTATGTATATTTTACTAATAGTTTATCATTATAATGTCTTCCCACTCAGAAAATGCAGACAGACACTATGCCATGTCAATGCCAGATTTATCAAAAATGCCTCCTTCTGCCAACGATCCGCATTCATTTGGGCAACTCAATGGCCAACCCAAAAAGAAGAGAGGCTTTTTATCTTTTCTTCAAAAGAAGGATAAAAAATTCAAAACCGTGAGTATGCCTTTGTTTTTCTGCTTGAATTTGGTTTTCTTGGAGGTGTGTGAGAATTGCAAGATGGTTGTCCCTGTAACGTGCTTATGTTTTAATTTTAATAAAATTGCCATTTGTATTTATCGCTGCTTCCCCTAAGGGTTTCGGGGTCTCATTGTGAGGAAAATTAGAATATACCCACTGCCTCCACAACAAGCGTTGTTCCTCTGTGGATATTTGAAAAGTCTACAACAGTTGCTCTCAACCTTTCTAATGCCATGACCCTTTAATACAGTTCATTATGTTGTAATGACTCCCAATCATACAATTATTTTCATCTTCACTTCATAACCTAAATGAATATGTGTTTTTAGTGACCCCTGTGAAAGTGTAATTTGACCCCAAAAAAGGGTGGAGACACATCGGTTGAGAACCACTGGTCTAGACTGTCACTAGCACAAGACAAGGTATCCATGCGAGTTACCAATGATGAAAGACATCCTCTGCATGGCAATCTGAAAGATTTTAGAGGAAACTGATTGAAAAGAGAAAACCTGTGGCTGAAGACACCATCGGACTGGTGGCCTCAGCTGAGCAAGTACACAGGAGGGCAGGAATGGGTCTATTGGACCACACACAACATCAGTATCAATCATTATTATCCCATTAGGAAGAGAATATAAAGAATGGTGTAATGGTATGGAATAATTAGAGGGACAACAACTGATATCACCTTAGGAAGAGAATATAGAAAGTGGTGTAGCGGTACGGCGTAATTAGAGTTACAACAACTGATATCACATTAGGAAGAGAATATAAAGAATGGTCTAATGGTATGGAATAATTAGAGGGACAACAACTGATATCACCTTAGGAAGAGAATATAGAGAGTGGTGTAACGGTACGGCGTAATTAGAGTTACAACACCTGATATCACATTAGGAAGAGAATATAGAGAGTGGTGTAACAGATTTGGCAGAATTAGAAATGCAACAACTGATAGATTAATTTGCTGGCTCGATGATGCAATGTGGACACCAGCACCATTCAGTTGGCAGCCACGGACCAGATCTGGCCCAGGGAGGTCTAGTAAATGGCCTACGTATCGTTGACAATTGTTTTGTATTGATGTTGTTTCTATCCTGTGGCTTGAAACTCTGGCCTGAGCCGATCCCCACATTCAACATGTTGGCTCCTGAATAAATTCACTTGAATAGCATTGGAAGACGATGATGAACAGACTCATCAGAGTGAAAGATCTGGCTGGGGATTTTTAGCTAGAGTGAAGGAAAAGATCAAGGCAGAACAAAATGATGCTTTCTTATCTGCAGCTTCAAGCATGAGGATGGAGGTGGGGTCAACCACAGCAGCTTTGATTTGGATAGCAGGAGAAAAAAAAGTTACCAGAGGTATTATAATGACTGATTCTCAGTCAGTACAGTGGAAGGTTAGAAAAGGACAAATGTGGCATGAGTGGATACGAAGCATGTGCATGTCAACATTACAGGAACTTGCATAATATACTGTCCAGGACATGCAGGAGTGTGAAGAAATGAAAGTGTGGATATTCTGGCTACAGAAGCAGTAGTTACAGGAAGACTCGTACTGGTCAAAGGAGAAAAACTGGGAAATGAATGCTCATAGAAGACATGAAGCTAGATGAAATAACATAAGAGTGTGTGAATGAGAACTTAGGTGGGGATCAAGCAAGAAGGAACGTATGAAAGGAAGAGAACAACAAGTTTATAATCAGTGTGCGACAGGAACGGTTAACATCTACACCTTAAGATGTTTGGTACTGGAGACGAAGCACCTATGGGTATGCCCGGTGTGCTATTATGAAGATTCTTAAATCAGTAATCAGTAAACTACAAGAGCATGAACAGTTATCAGAAGTATGCGGCTTATGGAGTATCCACTGAACTGGTAGTCTGGTAGTCTTAGTTTCAGCTTCATAGCAAACGGGTCACCCCATCTTTGCTCCACTCCTGTGCCAACGAAAAATACACCGAATGTTTATCACAGTATTAGAATTGCAGTTCACTGAACATATGATGCATTGCTTGGTAAGTAAAGAAAGAATAAGACAGCGGCACATTCGGCACACAACATTAGACTCATATTTTAATACATCAGCTGGCACTTGATGGCTGATGTAGTCAGCATCATGCAGGCTGCCTTTACATTCCAGGACATGACCTAGTATGCATTTTAGATTAGGTCGATCTAGACGCTGAAGTCAATTTGGAATTTAAAAAAATTGTGTTTCAATGTAGATTTTAAACCTCGGACATTACACACACACACACACACACACATACATACACACACACACACACACACACACACACACACACACACACACACACACACACACACACACATATATATATATATATATATATATATATATATATATATATATATATATATATATATATATATATATAATACACATACTAACATACACATATGCACACACACATGCAAACCAGCTGTATATGTGCATTCACACAAACTTACATATATAGTATACATTCTTACGTGCTGACATAAATAAATGCGGTCTTAAGAACACAGATTTTTGGATATATTCACTTTCAGAAATTCATATATGCAAACATATAAATAGCCTTACATGTGTGTGTGTGTATGTATACATGTGTAACTTACGTAATATGTTATTGCAAATTTAGTTTCAAGGTTAAAAATTATTATATATCTTCAATTTGATTTGGGAAAAGACACCCCGAAAGAACAAAAAAATGCATGCTTTCTCTTTCTCTCTCTTTCACTCTCTCTCTCTCACACACACACACACACAGATACACTTTCAAGTTTCCTTATGCCTTCTTTAACACAACAGTAGCGATGCCTAAATCTTTCGTAGCGGGAAAAACGGCGACCCGTTTGCGTGGCAACAGCGCCTGACTCTGAGGCATTACAGTAGAGGTTCTAAAACTGGGTGCGTATGACAGGGGTGCTGCGGCGAAAATCAAGAAAAGTCGGCTATAAATTGTGACATTATTAATGAGAAAGTTATTTTAGTCCATCGCAGAGTATGCAGAAATCACTATTCGTATTCGGCCCGACCGCCACTATTCGGCCGAATACCGAATAGCTAGTAGGTCCACTATTCGGCCCCGAAGCGAATATTCGGTACAGCCCTAATAATGATGAATCTCATAAACAAGTCACTATAGACAACTCAGAAAGTGACATTTATGGGGAATTGGACCAAACTGGAAGTGCTGGTGTTTTGGCTTCTTTTGTTGAAAAAGTTAAAATGAGTAAGTAGGGTTGATAATATTTGTGAAAATAGTTTCCCTGTCTTTGTAGCATGCATTTCTAGGAACTCTAGAAGCCCGCCTCTAGCCAATCTTTTGTGCTACTTTTTTGATTTGTAAATTTATCTTATTTTGAAACAGGAAGTTCGTCGCAGTCTCGTCCTTAAATCCACTTCTACCTTTGATGTCAACACTCCACCAGCGACAAGAGCAACTACTCTTCCTGAGCCTACATCACCAGAGCTTGATCAAAATCATCAAATTTCTCGCCCCAAATCTATGTATGTGTCTTCAGGTATACTTCCCTTAAATGACAAACCAATTGAACAACTTTCACAGACTGTTGTGGCACCACCTCGTAAAAAACGTCGGGCTCCAGAACCACCTGTGTCAAACTCCCACATCTTCGCACAACAACAGAATCTATCTGTAAAGGAAAGTATGGAAATTAACAAAGGCATTAAAGAAAGTATTTCACCACTGCAAGAGATCACTGAATCTATTGGCCAGGAAGAAATTCCTTGTGCAACGGTTTTACCACATCCAGTTTCTAATGGAGAGATTCTGCCTGCTAATAAACAGCATGATCTGACTCTAACCAGATGTGAATCACCTGAGGAGCAGAATACTAATCACATAAAAGTTGATTCAAATATAAACACAAACTATTCAGCTAACAAAGAAAGCATCAATGGAGTTAACAAATTATATGTGGCCTCAGAAGATGTGTTAACAAAAGATGCAATACATGAAAATGTAGAGCTCAAAATAGATACTGACTTACCTCAGGGTAGAAGGAGCAGTTTATCACCCAGTGATTCTGATACTTCATCTTCATACAAGAAAGGTAAAGCGCCGATTCCATCATCACCAGTATTGACTTCTTCATCTCCCGCACAGGAGATTTCTTCAACATTGTTATCAACTCCATCAGCAGAAGTTGCAACCATCATTGATACTGTAGAGACCCCAGCAGCTGTAGAAACATTCGTTCATCTTGTCCAAACTCACACAGGTTTGTGTTATTTTTTTAAATTTTAGCAGGCAGCAGGTAACCTATAACCACAGTTCAAACTTCACAACAAATGGATCAGCCAATATTTGCTCCACTCCAACATAAACCACACAGAATGCTCATCTTTATCCCTTGTGAAATAATTAACAGACTACAGTCTCAGCAAAGCAGTATCATGCAAACACATTAAATGCATAAGGCATCCATCAGTAGTGCCAACACAAACAGTCCAGCACTCCATTATTTATGGATGCAGCAATTAGAATAAATCACTAGTTGCACATACAGTTAATTGTATAAGGCACCAACAGTTCTGTGGCAACATGCCGCTTACCATTTTCTGAATCTGCATTCACAAGACAAACTATGGTGGGAACAATCAAAAAGCATTTCAGATAAAATCCACAGCTCACAGTGTTGTGCTATGCACTGAGCTCAGTAGCTTGGCGATGAAAATTGTATACCTTTAGTAACCATTATGAGAAAACTGCAATGGTTAAAAATTATCATAAGTAAGAACTTGCCATGACTAAAAATAGTAGGCTACCTATCCACCACATTGGACTAGAAGTTTTGTATTTTAAGTGAACAGCAAGGGACCAGCTTCCACATCTTGAGGTATTATGTGTATATAGTGCTAGCCTCACTTTAGTAGACCAATCAGTACTGGATAGGGGATGTTTTAAATATTACACTTGTTATCTCTACTTCCCTGAACA